CAGTGGCCAAATGAGCCAGTGATTCATGCGGCTGAGCCTGTCTTCCATGCAAGGAGCAAGTCTGAGGTCCAGACTCACATGAAATCAGCCACCTTCAAGGCAAGGAAGGAACGAAAACACATCTGGTCAAGAAAGGCCTTTGGGCCGGCCCCGTGGCTCACTCAGGGGAGTGTGGTGCTGGAAGCGCTGAGGCTGCAGGTTCGGATCCTATATGGGGATGGCCAGTGCGCTCACTGGCTGAGCGTGGTGCAGACCATGCCGAGCCAAGGGTTGTGATCCTCTTACCGGTCAAAAAAAAAAAAAAAAAATTTGCCTTTCACCTGACTGGCACTGGGTACTGGTCTCCTTCCTATACTTGCCTCCTTCCTGAAGAGCTCTACAAATACTAGTAAAATGGATAAAAGAAGGTAGGAATATTTTGAAAACACTCTTTACAAGTTGAACAAGAAAATGAAACCTGCTGCTCACCTTGCTCTACTTTGTCAGCAGAGATTAAGGTCACAGAGGTGGGAGGCTGAGATTCACTCTCAATCGACTGGAACAGAGAGGTAGATTGGCTTAAACTCTTTGAGTATGCGTAGCTGTGGACAAGGCAAGGCAGAGATCTCCGGGATGGTTTTAGTGACGTTTCTTTCGTTATCTCACTCTTGCTTATATTCATACCTGCAAATCGAAAATGGTGAGTTTTAGCAATAAGAAATAATCAGCAGAGGTCAACAAATAATTTTAATTCTGGTGATGGCTCTTTCAGGAACGTATTCTTGAAAAGGACCACCTACATATGAGAACTAATTGAGTTAGTTTCATTTATACTTTGTCAGAAAAAGTGTTCGAGTGTTTATTTATTTAAGAAATAAACAGCTTCTCTTCCAGTCTGAATTTCCACTATTTCTTTAAAGGTTCTGTGAAAAAAAGAAATGGATATTTAAGTTCATTTGTGGAATTATGAGAGCAATGATTTGGACTGTCCTTGATAAACCTGACCATTTAGGTTTTCAAGCAGCAAATAAATGAATGAATGAATGAATGAATGAATGAATAAATAAATAAATAAATAAAACCTAATGCATATGCCTACACATTCAAATTAATATTACTAAATGGAGCCCTTCTTTCTATAACTTACACTCTCTTAAGACAAGCATAATGTCTAACAATGATCTAGACTCTAGAAAGAGATAGCACAAAAACTGGCCAGCAAGCAGAGGTCAAGAGACAGCATTCCTGTGCTCCCTGTAAGAGTCCCTCCCCTCATGCACAGGGGCTGATCTGCTAGCAGTAAGAATGTCCCTCAACAGCTCCATAAACAGAAATCCCCATGCATCATGTGCTCCAGCAAAGAATGACCCCACTCCCTTGTACCCACCCATCTTCTTTCCAATCATGCCAATCCCAGGTCAGTCTTCATCTCCAGAACCCTAATCCCCAAATGTCACTGGATACTGACATTTCTCACAGCATCTCCCATCCAGACTCTTTTGCTATGTCACTGGGAA